GGGGCCACGCGCGACCCACGAGGGGGAACCCACGGACCCCCCGGCGAGGGGTTGGGGAGCCCCACAGAGCCCCCCACGGAGCCCCACGGAGCCGCCCCCCGACCCACGGCGACAATCGGCGACAATCGGGGGTGGGGGCGGCCCCACTGAGCCCCCCCGGGACCCCCAGAGCCCCACGGGGGGGCCGAGCCCCACGGCGACCCCCGGCAGTGCCACCACCCCCCCGCTCCGGTGTCCCCACAGCCTGTCCCGCCCCACGGCGACACCGGGGCCACGTCCCGCCCCACGGAGCGGCCCCGAAGCCCCCCCGAGACCCCACCCAGGTGTGGGGCAGAGGGTGGCACTGCCTGGCACTCACCTGGAGGGGGGGACGGGCGACAAAGGGGGACACCGGGACATGGGGGGACACCCGGACGTGGGGAAACTTGGACATGGGGACACTGGGGGGGACATGGGGGGGACGCGGCCACCCCGTGAGGGACACGGGTGTCCCTCGTGCTGTCACCTGCCCCTCGTGGGGACGCGGAGCCCTCGGGCAGGTGACAGAGCCACCCCGGGGCAGGGACACGTGTGTCCCGTGTGTCCCTGGTGTCCCTCGTGGGGGAGTCCTGGCGGGCACGGAGCCCTCGTGCCAGGCTCAGGTGGCACAGGTGACACCCGCACAGGTGACACCCGCACAGGTGACACCCTCCGGGCCATGGGGACACCGAGGAAGTGACGGAGCCACCTCGGCGAGGGACACTTGTCCCGTTTGGGGACCCCGAGGCTCACACGGGCACACAGCGAGCGACACGCGTGTCCCCTGCGAGGGACAGGGGCCACCTGCCCCCTCTGCTCGCTCCTGGGGGTCCTGGGCTCCCCCCACCCCGTGTGGGGTGTCCCCCACCCATCCTGGGACCCCTGAGCCCCTCGTGTGTCCCCCCGTGTCCCCCTGAGCCACCCGTGCCACTCTGTGCCCCCGGAATCACCTCGTGGCCCCCATCAAAGGGGGCACAGCCCCCCCAAACTTCCTGAGCCCCCCAAAACTTCCTGAGCCCCCCAAATCCCCCTGAGCCCCCCACTCAAACGGGGCACAGCCATTCCTCCAAGCCCCCCAGCCCCCCTGGCCCCCCACTCACGCTCGGCGCAGCCGGCCCCCCCGAAGGCCGTCATGCTGCAGTCGCAGGTGAAGCCGTCCCACTGCTGCAGGCAGACCCCCCCGTGGGCACACGAGTCCTCGGCGCACGTCGTGCTGGGGCCTGGGGGGCACCGGGCTCGTGGGGACCCCCCCCCGGCTCCCCCAAACCCGGCCCCGGCCGCGGGGGGGGCTCAAAATGGGTTTTTGTGGGTTTAAATCCCCTCCCCCCGCACCTTTGTGCCCCCCCTGGTCGCTCAAATCTCACCTTGGACACCTCCTTGTGCCCCCCCCGAGCCCCCTGCCCACCCGTGCACCTCCCTAACTCCCAGTTACGCCCAAAAAAGCCCCAGACACCCCCGGACCCCCGTGCCCCCCCCCCCCCCCCCCCCCCCCCCCGCCTCTCCCTCCCATCCCTACATACTTCTTCATATGCCCATATGGAGCCGGCCGGTGCTATGGAATGTTAAGAAGTATGTATTTTTGGGCTGGGACCCCCACAGCAGGAGCCCCCATCACCAGCAGCGGCCAGACGGCACCTCCGGAGAGACGATGCGTCCCCTGGGGCTGGTAAAAAGGAACCAGATCAACTTGCAACTGGAGACCCCCCCAGCCCCCCTTCCTCACCGTCGCAGCCCCTCCGCACGTCCCCCACGCGTCGCAGGGCGTCCCCCAGCAGGTCGGGCAGGCGCCCGTTCAGGTCCAGCGAGGCCAGGCAGCCCCGGAAGCCCCCCCGGGAGGCCACGAGCCGCGGGAGGCGGCCCAGGAGCCCCGGGCTGACCCCCCCGACGTACAGCTCACCTGGGGGGGCACGGGGGGGTCACCTGGGGGGCGCTGGCAGCTCTGTCCGCGCCCCAAAACAGGATCGGGATGAGCCCCCCCGAGCTGGTTGGGGTCACGCGCTGGGGAGACCCCCCCGTGTGCCATTGACCCCCCTGCCCCGTGATGTCCAGGTGCACCTGGGGGACACCTGGGGGACACTCAAGGGGTGAGGGGACACCCTGCTGTGGGTACCCCACTGGGGTGACCCCTCCCATCCACCCTGGGACCATCCCCACACCTCTGCCCTTCACCAGGTGTCCGCAGGTGTCACCAGGTGTGTCACCCAGGTGTCTCCAGGTGATTCCAGGTGTGTCCCCAGGTGTGTCCCAGGTGACCCCAGGTGATCGCAGGTGTTTCCCAAGTGATCCCAGGTGTGACCCAGGTGACTTCAGGTGTGCCCCAGGTGTCCCCAGCTGTCCCCCAGCCGTCCCCAGGTGTGTCCCAGCTGTCCCCAGGTGTGTCCCACCTGTCCCCAGGTGTGTCCCAGCTGTCCCCAGGCTCTCACCCTTGAGCTGCAGCCCGCGGGCGCCCTGCCCGTGCTGGGTCACGGGTCTCCCGTCCACGCGCAGCGCGTGCAGGGCCCCCCCCTCGCGTGCCACGGCCACTTCGTGCCAGCGCCCGTCGTGCAGCGGCTGCTCCGAGTTGCCCTTCATGAGCGAGGGGCCCTCGCCCAGGTCGAACACGTAGTGGATGTACCTGGGAAAGGGGGCGTGGCCTCGTTGGGCGTGGCCTCAGGGGAGGGGGAGACTCACCTGGACCCCCCCACCCCAAATACAGGGAGTGTAACTGGGCCGGGGGTGTGGCCACAGTTGGGTGTGGTCGTTATGGGCGTGGCCCGAGCCAGGAGGAGGAGGTGCTTGTGGCATGGGGGCGGAGCCTAAGGGTGGGTGGGGTGGTCCCTGAGGGCTGAGGGGGTTGGGGTCACGCACTGGGGAGACCCCCCCGTGTGCCATTGACCCCCCTGCCCCGTGATGTCCAGGTGCACCTGGGGGACACCTGGGGGACACTCAAGGGGTGAGGGGACACCCTGCTGTGGGTACCCCACTGGGGTGACCCCTCCCATCCACCCTGGGACCATCCCCACACCTCTGCCCTTCACCAGGTGTCCGCAGGTGTCACCAGGTGTGTCACCCAGGTGTCTCCAGGTGATTCCAGGTGTGTCCCCAGGTGTGTCCCAGGTGACCCCAGGTGATCGCAGGTGTTTCCCAAGTGATCCCAGGTGTGACCCAGGTGACTTCAGGTGTGCCTCAGGTGTCCCCAGCTGTCCCCCAGCTGTCCCCAGGTGTGTCCCATCTGTCCCCAGGTGTCCCCAGGGTCTCACCCTTGAGCTGCAGCCTGCGGGCGCCCTGCCCGTGCTGGGTCAGGGGGTACCCCCACACCTGTACCCTCCCCCAGCTGTCCCCAGCTGTCCCCAGGAGTGTCCCAGCTGTCCCCAGGTGTGTCCCAGGTGTCCCCAGGGTCTCACCCTTGAGCTGCAGCCCGCGGGCGCCCTGCCCGTGCTGGGTCACGGGTCTCCCGTCCACGCGCAGCGCGTGCAGGGCCCCCCCCTCGCGTGCCACGGCCACTTCGTGCCAGCGCCCGTCGTGCAGCGGCTGCTCCGAGTTGCCCTTCATGAGCGAGGGGCCCTCGCCCAGGTCGAACACGTAGTGGATGTACCTGGGAAAGGGGGCGTGGCCTCGTTGGGCGTGGCCTCAGGGGAGGGGGAGACTCACCTGGACCCCCCCACCCCAAATACAGGGAGTGTAACTGGGCCGGGGGTGTGGCCAGTGGTGGGGGTGTGGCCACAGTTGGGTGTGGTCGTTATGGGCGTGGCCCGAGCCAGGAGGAGGAGGTGCTTGTGGCATGGGGGCGGAGCCTAAGGGTGGGTGGGGTGGTCCCTGAGGGCTGAGGGGGGTCCCAAGGTCCAAAAAGGTTCAGAAGGTCCCCAGGGGCTCCCCTGGTGACCCCAGGGGTCCCAGGGCATCAGGAGGTCCCCGGGAGGTTCAGGAGCTCCCCAAAGTCCCCAGGTGGTCTCTGACATCCCCTGGAGGTCCCCAAAGTCCCCAGGACCCCCTAGCATGTCCCAGGTGGTCTCTGAGCTCCCCAAGACCCCCAAAGGACCCCATAGGTGTCCCCAAAATCTGTGAAGATCCCTGACCCCCTTAGCAGGGCCGTGGTGTCCCCAAGCTCCCTGAGCTCCCCAGGACGTCCCCCCGGTGTCCCCAAGGTCCTTGAGCTCCCCAGGACGTCCCCCTGATGTCCCCCCTGATGTCCCCCCGGTGTCCCCCCGGTGTCCCCCTCACCCCTTGACCAGCTCGACCACCAGGAAGTCGGAGCCGCTGCCGCCGTTGAAGAGGATGAGGCCGTCGGGCGCCGTGGTCTTGAACTGGAAGAAGAGGTGGAAGGAGGAGAAGGCCTGGAGCGTGGCCAGCGCCACGTAGGAGCCGCGGCCCCCGAAGGCCACCGGGTCGGCCACGATGGCGCGGCGGCCGAAGCGGGCGTTGAGCTCGCAGGAGCTGATGTCGCCGTCGCGGCACAGGTCCAGGTAGGGCAGCCCGTTGAAGACCAGCCCGCTCAGGTGGCCCAGGAAGTTGGAGGGGACCACGGCCAGGAAGCGGCGCTCGGTGACGATGCCGGTCTCGATGTTGTGGAACTCCAGGCGGGTGTGCGAGCCCGACAGCTGGCCTGGGGGGCGTGGGGGACACGGGGGTGGCACCGGGAGCGCGAGGGGCGGCGTGCGCCACCGCGCCGTGGTCTCATGGACATCCAGGCTGTGTGTGGTGTCCTCACAGGGCTGGTCGCCTTGGCCCCGTGCACCCGTGTCCCTAAGGACCTTCATCCACGTTCCTGTGAACCTCCATCCCCGTCCCATGGACCTTCATCCTTGTCCCCATGGACCTTCATCAATGTCTCAAGGACCTTCATCCATGTCCCATGGACCTTCATCCTTGTCCCCATGGACCTTCATCAATGTCTCAAGGACCTTCATCAATGTCCCCAAGGACCTTCATCCATGTTCCTGTGAACCTCCATCCCCATCCCATGAACTTTCATCTCTGTCCCCAGGGACCTTCATCCACGTTCCCGTGGACTTCCATCCCCATCCCATGGACCTTCATCCCTGTCCCAAGGAACTTCATCCCTGTCCCAAGAAACTTCATCCTTGTTCTCATGGACCTTCATCCTTGTCCTCTGGACCTTCATCCCTGCCCCCATGGACTTTTAGCAATGTCCCCCTTTAGCAATGTCCCCACGACCTTCATCCTTGTCCCATGGACCTTCTTCCATGTCCCCTGGACCTTCATCAGTGTCTCATGGACCTTCATCCCCATCCCATGGACCTTCATCCCTGTCCCAAGGAACTTCATCTCTGTCCCCAAGGACCTTCATCCCTATCCCTACAGACTTTTATCCCCATCCTACAGACCTTCATCCACGTTCCCAAGGACCTTCATCCCTGTCCCCTGGACCTGGTCACCATGTCCCCAAACACCAATGTCCTCTGGACCTTCATCCATGTTCTCATGGACCTTCATCCATGTTCTCATGGGTCTTTATCATGTTCTCATGAACCTTCGTCCCTGTTCCCAAGCACCAATGTCCCCAAGGACCTTCATCCCTGTCCCCCGGACCTTCATCCCTGTCCCCTGGACCTGGTCACCATGTCCCCAAACACCAATGTCCTCTGGACCTTCATCCACGTTCCCAAGGACCTTCATCCCTGTCCCCTGGACCTTCATCCATGTTCTCATGGGGCTTTATCATGTTCTCATGGACCTTTGTCCCTGTTCCCAAGCACCAATGTCCCCAAGGACCTTCATCCCTGTCCCCCGGACCTTCATCCCTGTCCCCTGGACCTGGTCACCATGTCCCCAAGCACAAATGTCCCCTGGACCTTCCTCCTTGTCCCCTGGACCTGCAGCCCCACTGGCCACGTCCCCACGGACCCGAGCACCCCGGTGACCCCAAGAGCCCAGGCCAAGGTCCCCCGTCCCCGTCCCCGTGGTGTCACCTTCGACGGTGACGTTGTCGACGGCGAGCTGGAGGCTGCGCCCGCGCCGGGCCACCCGCACCGAGTGCCACTCGTTGTCATCCAGCCGCTGCCCCGCGAACAGCGTCTCGGGGCCCTTGCCTGGGGGCAGCGGGGACAGCGGTGACACCGGGGACAGCGGGGACACCGGGGACAGCGGGGACAGCGGGGACAGTGGGGACACCGGGGACAGCGGGGACACCGGGGATAGTGGGGACATTGGGCACACCAGGGATAGTGGGGACAGTGGGGACACCGGGGACATCAGGGACACCAGGGACACAGGGGACATCAGGGACACGGGGGACACCAGGGGACAGTGACACACTGGGTGACACCAGGGATGCCAGGAGACACTTCTGCACCAGGGGACACCAGTGACACCAGGGGACACTGCTGTGCTGGTGACACCGTGGCACTGGGGGACACCAGTGATAGCGGGTGACACCAGGACACCGGTGACACCAGGTGACACCAGTGACACCGGGGGACAGCACTGTACCGGGGACACTGGGCCACCAGTACAGGTGACACCGTAGCAGCCGGTGGCACTGGGTGGCACTGGGACACCGTGGCACTGGGTGACACCAGATGTCCCCAGCACGGCCCAGGTGTGACCCCTGAGCCCACCTGTGCACCCCAAACACACACGGGGGGTCCCAGCCTATTGGGGGGGTCAGGAGGGGTTTGGGGGTCCCTGTGGAGGTTTTGGGGTGATCCAGGGAGTGTCCCCAAGGGTGTCCCCAGAGGTGTCCCCAGGGGTGTCCCCAGGGGTGTCCCCAGGGGGTGTCCCCGGGGAGTTTGGGGCAGTTTTGGGGGCGTTTGGGGCAGTTTTGGGGGTGTTCACGGGGGGGTTTTGGAGGCCGGGTGTCCCAGGGGGTTTGGGGGTCCAGCTCCCTGGGGGGGGTCCCCAGCCCCTTGGGGGGTCTCCACCCCTTGGGAGGGTCCCCAATCCCACGGGGGGGGTCCCCACCCCACAGAGGACCTGCAGCCCCACGGGGGAGCCCCCCAATGGAAGGGGCTGCAGGAGGGGTCCCCAATCCTGGGGGGGGTCCCCAATCCTCTGGGGGGTCCCTCAACCCCTCGGGGGGTCCCGGCGCTGCGCCCCAAGTGGCAGCGGGGGGGTCACGAAGGCCCCAATCCCGCGGGGGAGGGGAGGGGGAGGGAGTTGGGGACACCGAGGTGGCTCTGGGGACCCTCCAGGACCAGTTTGGGGGTCACAGCTGCTGTTCTGGGGGTGCCCGGGCACCATTTTTGGGTCCTGAGCACTTCTGGGGGAAATTTTGGGGTCCCAGGCATCAACTTGACCATTTTGGGATCACCAGAACCGGCCCAGACACCATTTTGGGGGAAATCTTTGCGACCTGGACGCTCTTTTTGGGGTCCCAGGCATGAATTTGACAATTTTAGGGCCAGGAGAACTGACCTGGGCACCATGTTGGGGTCCTGACCATCATTTGGGGCTCCCAGGCACCAACTTCGGGCCATTCTGGGGTCACAAGCACTTTTGGGATCCCAGGAATCATTTTTGGGCTCCTAAGAACTGACTTGGGCTCCAATTTGGGATCTTGAGCATCACTGTGGTGTCCCAGACACCAATTTGATCATTTTGGGGGGATCCCAGACACCATTTTAGGGTTCCAGTCACCATTTTTAGGTCCCTGGCTCCATCTCAGGGTCCCAGGAACCATTTTGGGGTTCCAGGCCCTATTTTGGAGTCCCAGACACCATTTTGGGGTCCCAAACCCCATTTTGGGATCCCAAACCCCATTTTGGGGTCCCAGACCCTATTTTGGGGTCTCAGACACCATTTTAAGGTTCCAGGCCGTATTTTGAGGTCCCAGACCCTCTTTTGGAGTCCCAGACCCCATTTTGGGGTCCCAGACCCTATTTTGAATTCCAGACCCTATTTTGGGGATCCCAGACCCCATTTTGGGACCCCAGACACCATTTTGGGTCCCAGATGCTATTTTGGGGTCCCAGACACCATTTTGGGGTCCCAGTCCCTATTTTGGGGTCCCAGTCCCTATTTTGGCCCTCCTGGGATGACCAGAACCGCCTCGGGCCCCGTTTCGGGGAGGATTTCGGGGACATTTCAGGGACATTCCAAGGACGTTTCGGGGTTTATCCGGGGGGTCTCTGCGGGGTCTCGGGGGGGCTCACCCAGGTTGAGGGTGAGCTTCATGCGCCCCCCGTCCAGCTCGAGGCGCAGGGTGTCGGCCGAGTGGCGCGAGGTGGTGGCCAGGACGAGGCCGAAGGCTCGGGGGGACATGAAGCGCAGGGACACGTCCTCGGCCTCGGTCTGCTCGCCCGGCACCTGCACCTTCAGGTACATGCTGCCGTCGTAGCTCAGTACCGCCGCCTCTGCGGGGACAGGGACGCGCTGTCACCCCCCCACGGCCACCCCCGATGGCCCCAGGGTGGCCCCAGGTGTCCCCAGGGTGTCCCCAGCCATCCCCAGCCATCCCCAGGGTGTCCCCAAGTGTCCCCAGCCATCCCCAGGGTGTCCCCAGGTGTCCCCAGTGTCCCCGCGTCCCCTCTGTCCCCTCTGTCCCCGTGTCCCCGCGTCCCTCACCTGTCTCGCAGCGCGGCCCCAGGTACCCGGTGCCGCGGCAGTCGCACACGAAGCGGTTCCAGCCCTCGCGGCACGTCCCCCCGTTGCGGCAGGGAGCGCTGGCGCACAGCCGGGGGGGGTCCCTGGCGCAGAGCGGGGCGACCCCCGGAGCCCCCCCGGGGGCCAGGAGCGCCCGCACGTCGCGGCTCCGCCCGTCCACGAACAGGTCCCGCACGCAGCCCACGAAGCCGAGGCGCAGCCCCGCGGCCCAGAGCTCGGGGGGCGCGGGGGGCCCGGGCCGGCCCTCGGGGAGCCCCCCCAGGTACAGCTCGGCCCCCACGTCCAGAACGTCGCGGTCGCCGCTGGCCAGGAAGGGCGTGCTGCGGCTGTTCACCAGAGGGGGCATCAGGGACAGCGGGGGGACATCAGGGACAGCGGGGACAGCGGGGCACACCTGCACACCTTGTGCACACCTTCACACCTCTCCCCTCACACCTTTTCACACCTGCACACCCCTCCCCACACACCTTTGCACACCCCAGGCACACCTGCACACCCCTCCTCTCACACCTGCACACCCCTCCTCTCACACCTGCACACCCTCTCACACCTGCACACCCCTCCCTTCACACCTTTTCACACCTGCACACCTTTGCACACCCCTCCCCGTACACCTGCACATCCTTTGCACACCCGCACGCCCTTTGCACACCCTTCCTCTCACACCTGCACACCCTTTTCACACCTGCACACCCTCTGCACACCTGCACACCCCTCATCTCACACCTGCACACCCTCTGCGCGGGGGTCCCTGCCCGAAGAGCAGGACCCCGTTGGGCTCCGTGGTGCGGAAGTCGAAGGAGACGGAGCCGGCGCGGGCCGGGCGCCAGGTGGGCAGCGCCAGGTGAGCCTGGGGGGTGGCGAAGGTGACGGGGTCCAGCGCCGGGGGGGGGTCGCAGTGGAAGAGCAGCGCCCCGTGCAGCGTCACCCGCGCGTCCCCCTCCTGCGCCAGCCGCGACAGCTCCAGCTTGAAGTCGTTGTTCTTGTAAACCACCTGGGGGGGCGGGGACAGGGGAGGTTTGGGGGGGTTCGGCACCCCCGTGTGACCCCCGATGCTGCTGTGCTGCGCTGTCACCTGGAACGCCCCTGGGGACACGCACAGGTGAGTTGGGGGTCCCCAAAATGTCACCCACAGCTCCTGGGGACACGTACAAGTGAGTCGGGGGTCCACAAAATGTGACCCAGAGTCCCCAGGGACATGAACAGGTGAGCTGGGGACTCCTGGGGGTCCCCAAAATGTCACCCATGGCCCCTGGGGACACACACAGGTGAGTCAGGGGTCCCCAACATGTCATCCCCACTCCTGGGGACACACACAGGTGAGTCGGGAGCTCATGAATGTCCCCTAAATGTCACTCACAGCCCCTGGGGACACGCACAGGGATCCACAAAATGTGACCCAGAGTCCCCAGGGACACCCACAGGTGAGCTGGGGACTCCTGGGGGTCCCCAAAATGTGACCCGGAGTCCCCAGGGACAAACACAGGTGAGTCGGGGGTCCCCAAAATGTGACCCGGAGTCCCCAGGGACATGAACAGGTGAGCTGGGACTTATGGGGGTCCCCAAAATGTCACCCATGGCCCCTGGGGACACACACAGGTGAGTCAGGGGTCCCCAACATGTCATCCCCACTCCTGGGGACACACACAGGTGAGTCGGGAGCTCATGAATGTCCCCTAAATGTCACTCACAGCCCCTGGGGACACGCACAGGGATCCACAAAATGTGACCCAGAGTCCCCAGGGACACCCACAGGTGAGTCGGGGGTCCCCAGAATGTCCCCCCCACCCTCAAGGACCCCCACAGGTGAGTCGGGGGGGCTCTACCGGGGGGGGGTCGCAGTGGAAGAGCAGCGCCCCGTGCAGCGTCACCCGCGCGTCCCCCTCCTGCGCCAGCCGCGACAGCTCCAGCTTGAAGTCGTTGTTCTTGTAAACCACCTGGGGGGGCGGGGACAGGGGAGGTTTGGGGGGGTTCGGCACCCCCGTGTGACCCCCGATGCTGCTGTGCTGCGCTGTCACCTGGAACGCCCCTGGGGACACGCACAGGTGAGTCGGGGGTCCCCAAAATGTCACCCACAGCTCCTGGGGACACGCACAGGTGAGTCAGGGGTCCCCAAAATGTGACCCGGAGTCCCCAGGGACAAACACAGGTGAGTCGGGGGTCCCCAAAATGTGACCCGGAGTCCCCAGGGACATGAACAGGTGAGCTGGGACTTATGGGGGTCCCCAAAATGTCACCCATGGCCCCTGGGGACACACACAGGTGAGTCAGGGGTCCCCAACATGTCATCCCCACTCCTGGGGACACACACAGGTGAGTCGGGAGCTCATGAATGTCCCCTAAATGTCACTCACAGCCCCTGGGGACACGCACAGGGATCCACAAAATGTGACCCAGAGTCCCCAGGGACACCCACAGGTGAGCTGGGGACTCCTGGGGGTCCCCAAAATGTCACCCACGGCCCCTGGGGACATGTAAAAGTGAGTTGGGGGTCCCCAAAACATGACCTACAGTCCCCAGGGACACCCACAGGTGAGTCGGGGGTCCTCAAAATATCACCACATCCCCTGGGGGGGCACACAGGTGAGTTGGGGACTCATGGATGTCCCCAAAATGTGATTCATGGCCCCTGGGGACACGCACAGGTGAGTCGGGGGTCCCCAAAATGTGACCCAGAGTCCCCAGGGACACACACAGGTGAGTCCCCAAAATGCCCCCCACCCTCAAGAACACCCACAGGTGAGTCGGGGGTCCCCAAAATGTGACCCAGAGTCCCCATGGACACCCACAGGTGAGTCGGGGGTCCCCAGAATGTCCCCCCCACCCTCAAGGACACCCACAGGTGAGTCGGGGGGGCTCTATCTCTCCCCCCCACCCCGAACACCTGCACCCCTCCCCAGGTGAGGGCGGTGGGGGTCCCCGAGCCCCCAGACTCACGTCCTTGAGGCAGCCCATGAAGTTGTTGCTGACGGGGGACCCCGGCAGGTCGGCGGTGTTGGGGGACCCCCCCACGTAGAAGAAGTCGTCGGAGCCCAGCATGGTGAAGTCCTCCTGCGTGTAGCCCGTGGTGGTCAGGATGCCGTCCACCGAGATGGTCAAAATGCCCCCCACCCTCAAGAACACCCACAGGTGAGTCGGGGGTCCCCAGAATGTCCCCCCCACCCTCAAGGACACGCACAGGTGAGTCGGGGGTCCCCAGAATGTCCCCCCCACCCTCAAGGACACGCACAGGTGAGTCGGGGGGGGCTCTATCTCTGCCCCCCACCCCGAACACCCGCACCCCTCCCCAGGTGAGTGCAGGTGGGGGTCCCCGAGCCCCCAGACTCACGTCCTTGAGGCAGCCCATGAAGTTGTTGCTGACGGGGGACCCCGGCAGGTCGGCGGTGTTGGGGGACCCCCCCACGTAGAAGAAGTCGTCGGAGCCCAGCATGGTGAAGTCCTCCTGCGTGTAGCCCGTGGTGGTCAGGATGCCGTCCACCGAGATGGTCACCTGCGGCACGAGAGCGGCCGCGCTCAGCCGGGCCCCCGCGGCCGGGGCACCCCAAAACTGGGGGGGGTACACACACCTGTACACACCTGTACACACACCTGTACACACCTGTACACACACCTGTACACACCTGTACACACACCTGTACACACCTGTACACACACCTGTACACACCTGTACACACACCTGTACACACCTGTACACACACCTGTACACACCTGTACACACACCTGTACACACCTGTACACACACCTGTACACACCTGTACACACACCTGTACACACCTGTACACACACCTGTACACACCTGTACACACACCTGTACACACCTGTACACACACCTGTACACACCTGTACACACACCTGTACACACCTGTACACACACCTGTACACACCTGTACACACACCTGTACACACCTGTACACACACCTGTACACACCTGTACACACACCTGTACACACCTGTACACACACCTGTACACACCTGTACACACACCTGTACACACCTGTACACACACCTGTACACACCTGTACACACACCTGTACACACCTGTACACACACCTGTACACACCTGTACACACACCTGTACACACCTGTACACACACCTGTACACACCTGTACACACACCTGTACACACCTGTACACACACCTGTACACACCTGTACACACACCTGTACACACCTGTACACACACCTGTACACACCTGTACACACACCTGTACACACCTGTACACACACCTGTACACACCTGTACACACACCTGTACACACCTGTACACACACCTGTACACACCTGTACACACACCTGTACACACCTGTACACACACCTGTACACACCTGTACACACACCTGTACACACCTGTACACACACCTGTACACACCTGTACACACACCTGTACACACCTGTACACACACCTGTACACACCTGTACACACACCTGTACACACCTGTACACACACCTGTACACACCTGTACACACACCTGTACACACCTGTACACACACCTGTACACACCTGTACACACACCTGTACACACCTGTACACACACCTGTACACACCTGTACACACACCTGTACACACCTGTACACACACCTGTACACACCTGTACACACACCTGTACACACCTGTACACACACCTGTACACACCTGTACACACACCTGTACACACCTGTACACACACCTGTACACACCTGTACACACACCTGTACACACCTGTACACACACCTGTACACACCTGTACACACACCTGTACACACCTGTACACACACCTGTACACACCTGTACACACACCTGTACACACCTGTACACACACCTGTACACACCTGTACACACACCTGTACACACCTGCACACACCTGTACACACACCTGTACACACCTGTACACACACCTGCACACACCTGTACACACACCTGCACACACGTGCACACACACCTGTACACACCTGTACACACCTGCACACACCTGCACACACCCGTTATCACACCTGCACTCACCTGTAGCCCTGTACACACCTGTACACACCTGCACACACACCTGTACATACCTGCACACACCTGTGCACACCTGTGCACACCTGTACACATCTGTACACATTTGTACACACCTGAACACACCTGTACACACACCTGATGTGACCCTCACACACCTGTACACACCTGTACACACCTGCACACACACCTGTACATACCTGCACACACCTGTGCACACCTGTGCACACCTGTACACATCTGTACACATTTGTACACACCTGAACACACCTGTACACACACCTGATGTGACCCTCACACACCTGTACACACCTGTACACACCTGCACACACCTTTTCACACCTGTGCACACCTGCACACATCCGCACACACCTGTACACACACCTGCCACACCTGTACACACCTGTACACACCTGAACACACCTGTACACATTTGTACACACCTGCCACACCTGTACACACCTGTACACACCTGCACACACCTGAACACACCTTTTCACAACTTTTCACACCTGCGCACACCTGTACACACCTGTACACACCTGTGCACACCTGATAAAAAAAATCACCCACCCCCCCCCTTTTAAAACCCTGACACCCCCTGGGGCGGGGTTTGGGGTGAAAGCGGCTGGTTTTGGCAAAAATGGGCAAAAATCCAAAGGAATCGGCCCAAAATGGGGGAGGGGGGTGGGGTCCCACGTCCCCTCTGTGAGCGACAGCTGGGTTTTGGGGGGAACCCCAAATTTCGGGGTGGTTTTGGGGCTTGAGAAACCGTGCTCGGCCACGAGGGAGCAAATTGCCCAAAATCATGGGAATTCACCCCAAAATGAGGCGTTTGGGGGGGGTCTCCATCCTGCCCCCGACCCATTTTGGGGGGAAATTATGGAGAATCTGAGCCTTGGCTGTTTCAGGGGGTGGGATTGGCATGAAATTGCTCCAAATCCCAAAAAATCACCCCAAAAATTGGGTCTGGGACTCCATAAAAGTTTCCAGGGGAAAACGAGCCCAGCCCGGGCTGGATTTTGGGGTGAAACCGGCTGGTTTGGGGACCAGGGAGCTGCAGCTACGCCCTGGATGGTGTGGGGGGGAAAAAATCGTCCAAAATTTCTAAAATTCATCCCAAAAATGGGGGAGTGAAATCCCACATCAACCCCTTGGGGAAAATCGGCAACTTCTGAGCCCGGCCTGACGATTTGGGTGGAAATCATTTGGTTTTGGCATTGGGAAACTGCGGGTGTTGGGTTTACCCGATCACCCAAAATCCCAAAAATTCCCCAATTCACACCAAAACGAGTGGGGAGACCCCACATTGTCCCCATCAAGAAAATCACACTCTCAAAAAGGAGTTTTTTTGGAAAATCAGCTATTTTTGGCATGGGGGAGGCGATGCTCCGCCACAAGATGGCGGACGGGTGAAAATTGCCCTAAATCCCTCAAATTCGTCCCAAAACAGCGGGAGCTGAACCCTCTTGAGAAAAAATATCACTGCCTGACCCCAGATGAGGATTTTTTGGGGGGAAAACCAGCTCATTTTGGCACGAGGGAGCCGCAGCTCAGCCGCAAGACGGCAGACGGGCGAAAATTGCCCAAAACCGCTAAAACTCACCCCAAAAACGGGGCGGCAGATGGGTTGAGGCGCCACCTCACCCCCATCGCGTACCACCCGCCCCCTCGGGAAGGATTTTTGCTGGGATGGGAGGAAGAGGAGGGTGACGGGGCGGGGCAGAACCAGCTCTGGTTTATTTTGCCACGATGGGGGCGGCAGCCGAAGCTCGGCCTGCGGAGATGGCGGATGGGTGAAAATTTTGCCCAAAATCCCCCGGATCGGCCCCAAAAGGTGGGGAGTGGGGCCACGGCGAAGCCAAGGAGTAACAATAGAGTGATAACTACCAGGTAATGCAGTTTGTTTACCATAGCGTGTCCGATCCCTGCGTGCTGGCGGCGAGAGAAGGACAAAACACAAACGTGACGTTTGGGGGGCGCTTGGGGTGGGGGGCGCGGGGGGGTTTTTTTTTTTTTGGGGTTTGTCCAGGATTTTTGAAACAAGAGCATAATTTATAGCAATGTTTACATCTTCCCCACTTTGAATTCCTTGGAAGAGCTGACAGAGGATCTTCTTCAACACAGCTTCCAGGGCCGTTGCAATTTCCTCCTCTTTGTTTCCTGTGAGGAAAGAATAAGGTCACAGGGTCACTGATATTTCCTCCTTGAGCAGAAGACAAGCTATCTGACACAAGCATGCCCAAAGGACACACTTTGTGTCCTGCCTGAGCCAGGCCCAGGGGCACAGTCTGGGGCCAGCAAGGCCCACACTGGAGCCTGTGCCCCAGCTGACCCTTCCCCTTCCCAGCACCGGCTCCTGCAGGCAGAGCTGCTCTCCACAGGCCCTGTGCTCACAGACACATCCAGGCTCTGCTCAGGGAACCTCCTCTCCCTGCTCATCATCATCAGGGAAACAAGGCTGAGCTCACGCGTGCCCCAGCATGGGACCAGGAGTGGGGCGTTGCACGGAGGGGGAGGGGCGGCGCCCACCTTGGAGGGGGGAGAGAGAAGCAGAGAGTTGTCAGAAAATGGGGGGCGGAGTGGGGGGGGGGAGAAACCCCCCCCCGAACTCCACCGGTCACCCCCTGTGGGGGTTGGGCAGAGACCCCTCCCCCATCGTGCGTCCAGTGCTCCCAGTTTGGGAGGGTCCATGGAACCAGTGCTCCCAGTTGGGGAGAGAGAGGTCCTGCGGTCGGTGCTGCCAGCGGGGTGGTTGAGCAGCGTGTCCAGTGCTCCCAGTGCTCCCAGTGCTCCCAGTTGGGTGCTCGAGCAAGACACCCAGTGCTCCCAGTGCTCCCAGTTGGGTGCTCGAGCAAGACACCTACTGCTCCCAGTGCTCCCAGTTGGGTGCTCGAGCAAGACACCCAGTGCTCCCAGTTGGGACCAGAATCGAGACTCCCAGTGCTCCCAGTTGGGGAGAGGATCGAGGCTCCCAGTGCTCCCAGTTGGGTGCTTGAGCAAGACACCCAGTGCTCCCAGTTGGGACCAGAATCGAGACTCCCAGTGCTCCCAGTTGCGTGGTTGGCCAATGTCTATCACCCCCAGTTGGGTGCTTGAGCAAGACACCCAGTGCTCCCAGTTGGGACCAGAATCGAGACTCCCAGTGCTCCCAGTTGGGGAGAGGATCAAAGCTCCCAGTGCTCCCAGTTGGGTGGTTGGCCAATGTCCATCACCCCCAGTTGGGTGGTTGACCAGCACAACCAGTGCTCCCAGTTGGGGAGCAGATTGAGGAACCCATTGCTCCCAGTATGCCCAGTTCTCTAGTTTAACCTAACACCCAGTGCTCCCAGTTGGGGAGCTGGTCAAGGTACTGGTGCTCCCAGTTGGGTGGCTGATGAAGACACCCATCGCTCCCAGTGCTCCCAGTTGGGGAGCTGGTCAAGGTAACTGGATTTCCTGGTCGGGTGGTTGGCCAAGTCAACCAGCGCTCCCAGTTGGGGAATTCAGCAAAATGCTGGGTGGTGCCAGTTGGGGTGGTTGGCCAAGTCACCCAGTGCTCCCAGTTGGGCAGTTGACCAAGATGCCCATTGATCCCAGTGCTCCCAGTTGGGGAATTCAGCAAAATGGGTGGTGCCAGTTGGGGTGGTTGGCCAAGAGTCCCATCCCAGTGCTCCCAGTTGGGGAACTGATCAACTCAACCATTGCTCCCAGTGCTCCCAGTTGGGAGCTGGTCATGGCAACCAGTGCTCCCAGTTGGGGAGCTGATCAACTCAACCATTGCTCCCAGTGCTCCCAGTTGGGAGCTGGTCATGGCAACCAGTGCTCCCAGTTGGGGAGCTGATCAACTCAACCATTGCTCCCAGTGCTCCCAGTTGGGAGCTGGTCATGGCAACCAGTGCTCCCAGTTGGGGAACTGTCTGAGAAGACCCATTAAATGGCCACTCAAGGATCCCAGTTGGGGAGCTGCCCAAGGCTCCCAGTGCTCCCAGTTCGGGAGCTGCCCAATGTTCCCAGTGCTCCCAGTTGGGGACCTTCCCATCTCTCCCAGTGCTCCCAGTTAGGGAGCTGATCAAACCCACCACTGCTCCCAGTGCTCCCAGTTGGGGAGCTGATCAAACCCACCATTGCTCCCAATGCTCCCAGTTGGGGAGCTGCCCAAGGCTCCCAGTGCTCCCAGTTGGTTGCGCGTGACGCGCACGTGGTGCCAGCCGCCGTCGTGGAACTTGCCGTTGACGGGCTCCACCAGCGCCTCGAAGGCGCCGGCGCCCAGGTTGATGACGAGCCACACGGCGCCGGCCTTGAGCGACAGGTTCAGGAAGTCGGCGGCGCGGCCGGTGTGCAGCAGCAGCCCGTGGCGCTGCCGCGTGCGGAACGCCAGCGCCAGCTCGTCCGCGCTGCTCTGCACCGGCGACCGCGACACGTCGTAGCAGAAGAACTCGCTGCCCCGGAACGTGGCCACATACTCGGCGCGGCCTGGCGGTGGGGACAGCGGGGACGCCGTGTGGGGGCGGCGAATGGCGAGGTTGGCAAGGGGGGCGTGGCACTGGGGGGTGTCGGTGGGAGATGGCGGCAGGGGATGGGGAGGTTGTGGTTGGGGACGTTGCGATGGGGACGTTGTCATGGGGACGTTGTCATGGGACATTCTCATGGGGACATTGTCATGGAGATGTTGTCATGGGGATGTTGTCATGGGGACATTGTGATGGGGACATTGCGATAGGGACGTTGCGATGGGGACGTTGTCATGGGGACGTTGTCATGGGACATTCTCATGGGGACATTGTCATGGAGATGTTGTCATGGGGATGTTGTCATGGGGACATTGTGATGGGGACATTGGGATGGGGACGTTGTGATGGGGACGTGATGAGGACATTATCATTGGGACATTGTCATGGAGACATTCTCATGGGAACGTTGTCATGGGGACATTGTGATGGGGACGTTGTCATGGGGACATTGCGATAGGGACGTTGTGATGGGAACGTTGTCATGGGGATGTTGTCATGGGGATGTTGTCATGGGGACATTATCACTGGGACATCGTCATGGGGGCATTGTCATGGAGATGTTGTCATGGAGACATTGCCATGGGGTGTTGTCACGGGGATGTTGTCACAGGGACGTTGCCATGGGGACGTTGTCATGGGGAGGTTGTCATGGAGATGTTGCCATTCGATGTTGTGATGGGCACGTTGTCATGGGGACGTTGTGATGGGGACGTTGTCATGGGGACGTTGCAACGATGACCTTGCGCGGGGACATTGTTATGGGATCTCAGGTGTGTGTTGGGGGTTTGGGAGTCCTGGGAGGTCCTGGGGGTTCCCAGGTGTGCACAGGTGTGGGGTTTGTGGTTCCTGGGGTTCCCAGGTGTGCACAGGTGTGGGGTTTGAGGTTCCCAGGTGGAAAGGGAGGGAAATGAGAGAAAGGGGGGAAATGGGGGAAAAATGAAAAAATAGAAAAAAGGAAGAAAGGAAAAGGGAGGAAAGGAGGGAAAGGGATGAAAGCGGGGGGAGGGAGGAAAAAGAGGAAAAAAGTGAAAAGGGTCAAAGCAAGGGAAAGGAGGAAATTGATAAAAAGGGGAAGTCAGCAGCACAAGGGAAAAGAGAAAAGGAAAAAGAAAAAAAGGGGGAAAAGTGGGGGAAATAAAAATAATTCTAAAAGGGGAAATTATCGAGGAGGGAAAATAAAGATCAACAAAGGGAAGGGAAAAAATGAAGGTGAAAAAAGAACTCTGATATAAAAGGTGGAATATTCAAAGTATTTATTGAAAGAGGAAAAATAATTAATGTAAAGAGATAATGATAAAGAAGGAGAAAGATATTAATTAACATGGAGAAGAATTTTTAAAAAAAAGGAAAAATACTGAACTGGGAAATTACTTTAAAAGGGAAAATATCTTCATGAGTAGAAAATTCATAAAAAGGGGGAAATAATCAAAATAAAGGGAAAATCACGAGAAAAGGAAAAATATTAAAATAAACACTATTAATAAAAAAGGGAAAATAATCTAAAAAAAAAGAAAAATAAGGAAAAAGCCAAAATAACGGGAAATGTAAAAGAAAAAAGGGGGGGAATAAAGGAAATAGTAAAGGAAAAGCGGCAAAATGGGAAACATAGAGGGAAATGGGAATGAAAGAGAAACCAATTAAAAAACATAAACATAAAAAAAAAATCAGAATTAAAAAAATTAAAAATTAACCAAAAAACCCAAAATGACCGAAAGGCCCAGGCGCTTGGGGGCGGGGCACAATGTGGGGGGGGAGGGGTTTGCACGCCCCGGTGGGATTTGCACGCCCTGAACTTCGTCCTGGAGGGGATTTGCACGCCCCGAGGGGGGGTTTGCACGCCCTGTGCACGCCCACAGCCCTCACGGCGCCCCAGCACCCTGCACCCTATAGGGCACCCCAAAGGGACCCTGCACCTACAGGGCATCCTATAGCAACCCACAGGGACCCTGCACCCTATAGGGCACCCTATAGCACCCCAAAAGGACTCTGTACCCTATAGGGCACCCCAAAAGGACTCTGTACCCTATAGGGCACCCTATAGCATGCCAACACCCTTTAGGGCACCCCAAAGGGACCCTGCTTCCTATAGGGCACCCCATAGCACCCCAACACCCTATAGGGCACCCCATAGCACCCCAGCACCCTATAGGGCACCCCAAAAGGACTCTGTACCCTATAGGGCACCCTATAGCATGCCAACACCCTTTAGGGCACCCCAAAGGGACCCTGCGTCCTATAGGGCACCCTATAGTACCCCAACACCCTGTAGGGCACCCTGAAGGGACCCAGCACCCTATAGGGCACCCTATAGCACCCCAACACCCTATAGGGCCCTCCTCAGGGACCCAGGACCTCATGGCACACCCCGTAGTGCCCTGCCTGCACCCCACAGGCACCGTGGACCCCATAGGGCACCCTATAAGGACTCTGCACCCCATAAGGCACCCCAAAGGGAGTCTGCACCCTATAGGGCACCCCAAAGGGTCCATGCACCCTATAGGGCACCCCACAGGCACCGTGGACCCCACAGGGCACCCTATAGGGACCCTGTACCCCACAGGGCATCCCATAAGGACCTTGCACCCCACAGGGCACCCCAAAGGGACCCCACACCCCATAGGGCACTCTATAGGGTCCCTGCACCCCATAGGGCACCCCAAAGGGACGGGCACCCCAAAGGGTCCATGCACCCTATAGGGCACCCCACAGGCACCGTGGACCCCACAGGGCACCCTATAGGGACCCTGTACCCCACAGGGCATCCCATAAGGACCTTGCACCCCACAGGGCACCCCAAAGGGACCCCACACCCCATAGGGCACTCTATAGGATCCCCACACCCTATAGAGCACCCTATAGGGTCCCCACACCCCACAGGGCACCCCAAAGGGACCCCACACCCCACAGGACACCCCACAGCACCCCAGGGCCCTCGCAGCCCCCCCCGTTCCTGTCCCCCCTCAAGGACGCGGCGGGAGCATCCGGCAGTGCCGTGACAACCGTCACCAGGGAGACAGGCCCGGGCGTCTCCACGGCAACGGGTACCCAGCCCCGGCGGCGCCCCGGCAACCGGCCCTGGCAACGCGCCCGGAGGAACCCCAAAGGGACCCCACACCCCATAGGGCACCCCAAAGGGACCCCACACCCCATAGGGCACTCTATAGGGTCCCTGCACCCCATAGGGCACCCCAAAGGGACCCCACACCCCACAGGGCACCCCAAAGGGACCCCATACCCCATAGGGCACTCTATAGGATCCCCACACCCCACAGAGCACCCTATAGGGTCCCTGCACCCCATAGGGCACTCTATAGGGTCCCTGCACCCCACAGAGCACCCTATAAGGACCCCACACCCCACAGGACACCCCAAAGGGACCCCACACCCCATAGGGCACCCCAAAGGGACCCCACACCCCATAGGGCACTCTATAGGGTCCCTGCACCCCACAGGGCACCCCAAAGGGACCCCACACCCCATAGGGCACTCTATAGGATCCCCACACCCTATAGAGCACCCTATAGGGTCCCCACACCCCACAGGGCACCCCAAAGGGACCCCACACCCCACAGGACACCCCACAGCACCCCAGGGCCCTCGCAGCCCCCCCCGTTCCTGTCCCCCCTCAAGGACGCGGCGGGAGCATCCGGCAGTGCCGTGACAACCGTCACCAGGGAGACAGGCCCGGGCGTCTCCACGGCAACGGGTACCCAGCCCCGGCGGCGCCCCGGCAACCGGCCCTGGCAACGCGCCCGGAGGATGCTGTCGCCACGGTGACACCGGCGGTTGTCCCCAGGAACGTGTGCGAGGGCGGGGTGGCACGAGAGACCCCCCGGGCCACGCCCGGCTGGCACCGGCACCGTCACCGTCACCGCGGGGACACCCAGCCCACGGCGGGGCGTGCCACCGCACCGGGGCGTGCCAGGGTGGGGACAGGCGGGGACACGAGGGCGTGTGGGGACACCGGGACGGGTAAACACGGGGGGGTGACATCGGGTCCCCAAAGCCCCGCGCCACCCCCAGCAGGGTCACCCGTGTCACACGAGGGCACACGAGGGCCCGGGGAGGTGCAAAATGGGGGTGGGGGAGGACACTGAGGGTGGGAGGAGGGGGGGACACCGGGGGGGGACAAGAGGACATGAGGGACATGGGGGGGTCACGTGTGGGTGTGCAACATCTCGAGGGTGAGGAGAGACACCAGGACACGAGACATGGCAGGAGGACACGAGGACACCGGGGGACACGAGGATGGGTGACACCAGGAGGACACAAGGACGAGTGACACGAGGACGGGTGACACCAAGAGGACACGAGGATGAGTGACACGAGGACGGGTGACACCAGGAGGACACGAGGACACCGGGGGACACAAGGGTGGGTGACACCAAGGGGACAAGGGGACGTGAGGGACATGGGGGGGTCACGTGTGGATGTGCAACATCTCAAGGGTGAGGAGAGACACCAGGACACGAGACATGGCAGGAGGACACGAGGACACCGGGGGACACGAGGATGGGTGACACCAAGAGGACACGAGGACGAGTGACATGAGGATGGGTGACATCAGGGGGACACAAGGACAGGTGACACGAGGACGGGTGACACCAGGAGGACACGAGGACACCGGGGGACACAAGGGTGGGTGACACCAAGAGGACACGAGGACGGGTGACACCAAGACGACACAAGGACGAGTGACACGAGGATGGGTGACACCAGGAGGACACGAGGACGAGTGACACGAGGACGGGTGACATCAGGGGGACACAAGGACCTGGAGAAGCACATTGGTAGTGGTGTGAAAGGACACGGGGTGACACAAGGGCAAGAGGACAGAGGGACATGTGACACCAGGAGGACACGAGGACACGGAGCAACTCAAGGACACAACGCCAGGAGGACACAGAGGGGACACAGAACCCCACGAGGGTGGAAGAGCAGGGGAGCACCGTGACACAAGGACACCGTGACACCAGGACACCGTGACAATGACAGTCAGACACCGTGGGTGTGTCCAGTGCCACGAGGACAGGAAGGACACAAGGACAAGCAACGCCACGAGGGGGTAGTGGTGTGAAAGGACACAAGGGCAAGAGGACAGAGGGACATGTGACACCAGGAGGACACGAGGACACGGAGCAACTCAAGGACACAACGCCAGGAGGACACAGAGGGGACACAGAACCCCACGAGGGTGGAAGAGCAGGGGAGCACCGTGACACAAGGACACCGTGACACCAGGACACCGTGACAATGACAGTCAGACACCGTGGGTGTGTCCAGTGCCACGAGGACAGGAAGGACACAAGGACAAGCAACGCCACGAGGACACAAAGCCACGGAGGAGCTCAAGGACAAAATGACACCAGGACACCAGGAAGTCATGGAGGAACGAGGAGCACTCAAGGACCAACGCCACGAGGACGTGGGGATGTGGAGGACACGATGACACGGGGACATGGGATTGTGGAGGACATGATGACACAGGGACATGGGATTGTGGGGGACACGATGACACAAGACACGGGGATGTGGAGGACACAATGACATGGGGACATGGAGGACACGATGACACAGGGACACGGGATTGTGGAGGACACGATGACATGAGACATGGGATTGTGGGGGACACAATGACATGGGGACATGGAGGACATGATGACATGAGACATAGGGATGTGGAGGACATGATGACACGAGGACATGTGAGGCCACGGAGAAGCACAAGGACACCCCAAACCAGGGATGGAGAAACACAAAACCACCCAACGCCGTGAAGGAGGACACGAGGACACGGGGACACGGAGAAACACAGCCATGAAGATGGACACTCCACGGAGAAACACAAGGAGGTGACAACAGGAGGACACGCAACGCCACGGAGATGGAGAGACCCTCAAGGACACGATGACACCGACACATGGAGGTGCCCAACGAAACCATGGAGAAACACAAGGCCATGGGGGGACACGGAGAAACACAGCCATGAAGATGGACACTCCACGGAGAAACACAAGGAGGTGACAACAGGACACGCAACGCCACGGAGATGGAGACCCTCGAGGACACAATGACACCGAGACATGGAGGTGCCCAACGAAACCATGGAGAAACACAAGGCCATGAGACCCCCGAGCTGATTCTGCGCCCACCCACCCCTCCCTGCCCCCTGCCCCTCTGCCCCCGCCGCGCCCTCACCTTCCTCGCAGAAGGGCCCGCGGTGGCCGGTGCCGGCGCAGTCGCAGCGGGGCTCCCCACGGCGCAGGGTGCAGCGGCCGCCGTGGGCGCAGGGCGGGTGGTGGGCGCAGCGCTCGTCCCCGTCACCCCGGACCCCCTGGGCGCCCAGCAGCGCGGCCGGCGCGTCGCCCACCCGCAGGTCGGCCACCCACCCGCGGAAGGGCGGCTCGTACTTGACGGTGCTGAGCGTCAGCGCCGAGAGCCGCACGTCGGGCGGGATGCCCCCGACGAACAGGTCGCTGGCCACGGCCATGTGCCGTCGCTGACCGGCGCCGGCGGCTCCAGCGTGGCGGGCTCGGCGCAGGCGATGGCGAAGCGCAGCCGCAGCCGCCCCTCGGCCACCAGCAGCTCCAGGAAGTCACAGTTGCCGCCGTCGTCCAGGTAGAGCAGCAGCGCCCGCGTCACGTTGGTCTTGAGGCGGAAGCTGAGCTGGCCCCCCGCGCCCGGCGCCCACCGCCCGTAGCGCGCCCACTGCCCCGGGGCGCCCCCGAACTCCAGCGCCGAGCCCCGGGCGCAGGGCAGCAGGAGGGACCCCAGCGTCAGCAGCACCAGGCCCAGGCGGGCGCCCGAGGGGATTTGGGCGCACGGGCGGGGGGCTGGGGTGGCCCGGGTGGGCACGTGGGGTTGGTGGCACTCGGTCCCCGGGCAGCGTCCCTCGGCCGTGGCGTCCGGGGGGACCCTCGGGTCCGGAGGGCCGGGCTTGACCTCGGTCTCTTGGGGGTCCGCGGGGCTGTGCGCGGCCACGGGGGCTTGGTGGACGTTCCAGTCTGTGAGAGCTTGGCCAGCCTGGCTGTCCGGGTGCTCCAGGGGGGCTCGGGGGTCCTCGGGGGCTCGGCTGGCCGCTGGGGCTCGGTGGACCCTCAAGTCTAAACACACCACGGGGTCTTCATTGACCTTGGCCTCCAGAGGGGCCGCGGGGCTTTGGTTGACCTTGGTCTTTTGGTTGGCCACCGGACCCTGGGTGACCTTGGGCTCTTGGGGGTCCTCGGAGGCCGGGGAGGGGTCTTGGTGGCCCCTCAGGTCCAAGCGAGCCATGGCGGCCTGGTTGACCTTGGAGTCCAAGGGGATGTTGATGTCGGGCTCTGGGAGGTCCTGGTTGCCCACAGAACCTCGGCTGGCCCGCGATTCCTGACGCGCCTCCAGGAGCTCCTGGGTGGCCACAGACGCCAGGCGGGTCCCGGGCACCTGGCTGACCCGAGTCCCCAGGAGCTCCTCAGAGCCTTGGGCGATCTTGGAGTCCAACAGCGCCACGGAGCCAGCACCGGGCTCGGGGTGCTCCTGCTTGCCCACAAAGTTTTGGTCGGCCACAAAGCCCAGGTGGGCTTCGATCTCCACGCGGGAGCCCAGGTGGGCGACGGAGCCCAGGTGGGCCTTGGTCTCTCGGTGGTCCTGGCTGGCCACAGAGCCTCTGGTGGCCGCGGAGCCCGGGTGGGCTTTGGTCTCTTGGTGACCCTCAGAACTTTGAGGGGCCGTGGAGCCGCGCTGGGGGCCCGGGTGGGCCGCGGAGCCCGGGTGGGCTTTGGTCTCTCGGAGGCCCCCGGGCGCCGGGCGTCCCTCAGCGGCCGGACAGGTCATGGCGCCTGGGCTGGCTCTGGGGGGGCCCTGGGGGGGCCCTGGGGGGGGCCCGGCCGCCCCCGTCCTCTCACAGCCACATGGGCGGCCCCAGCGGGCGGCGACAGCCTGGCCGGGGGGTCCGGAGGCACCTGGGGGGGGAGAGGGGGGGAAGGGGGGGGGTCGGTCACCGCGGCAACCCGGGCCCTGGCATTATGCAAATGAGCCCCCAGGTTATTTATAGCCCCCCCTCGTTGGCTAATGGGGCTCATTAACATGCAGCGCATAATTAGCCAATCACATTAACTGCTGCACCTGTGGGGGGGGGGATGACAGCGACCCCCACCTTGGCACCCCCCCACCCCCATCCCGTGGGGGGGGGCCCAGGCTGGGGGGGAACCCCCAGAGACCCCCAGGGACCCTCGGGGGGAGGGACCCGGGCCTGGGTCCCCCCCTCCCCCTGCACGGGTGTCCGTCCCCCCCTCGGGGGTCATTAATTAATTAATTATCGATCGCTGATGGTTGATAAAGGGGGGGAGGGGGCGCACCTGGGCCCCCGAGGGGGGATCCGGGGGGAGCTCTGGGGGGAATTGAGGAGGGCCCCGCCCCCCCCCCCGGCCCGGTGTGCGCCCCTTGCACGCGCAGCCCCTTGCACACCTGGTGTCCCCCCCCAGGCTGGGGAGCCCCCCCAAAAACACGCGGGTGCGCCCCAGCCTGGCCTGAGCCCCCCCTTGCACACGCGTGTGCACCCCGGGTTTGCACACACACACCAAGCACGGCCAGGCTCGTGTGCACCCCAAAATTACACACACACTCCCTGCACGCGCGTGTGCACCCCAAAATTGCACAAATCCCTCTGCCACGCTCGTGTGCACCCCAAAATTGCACACACATCCCCTGCACGCGCGTGTGCACCCCAAAATTGCACAAATCTCTCTGCCACGCTCGTGTGCACCCCAAAACTGTACACAGACCCTCTGCACACGCGTGTGCACCCCAGAATTGCATGCACACCCTCTGCACGCTCGTGTGCACCCCAGAATTACACACAGACGTCCTGCACGCTCGTGTGCACCCCAAAATTGCACAAATCCCTCGGCCACGCTCGCGTGCACCCCAAAACTGGGCACAGCTCCCTCACACACTGGTTTGCACCCCCAAAAACCGCACACACGCGTGTGCACCCCCAAATTGCACAAAACCCCCCTGAACACTCGTGTGCACCCCAAAACTGTACACAGACCCTCTGCACACGCGTGTGCACCCCAGAATTGCACGCACACCCCCTGCACGCGCGTGTGCACCCCAAAATTGCACAAATCCCTCGGCCACGCTCGCGTGCACCCCAAAACTGGGCACAGCTCCCTCACACACTGGTTTGCACCCCCAAAAACCGCACACACGCGTGTGCACCCCCAAATTGCACAAAACCCCCCTGAACACTCGTGTGCACCCCAAATCTGCTCACACACCCCCTGCACGCTCGTGTGCCCCCAGTTTAACAGACCTCCCTACACGTGCACCCCAAAACTGCACGGACACAGCCCTTGCACGCTCGTGTGCACCCCAAAACTGGGCACAGCTCCTTCTCACACTGGTTTTGCACCCCCCAAACCGCGCACACCCCCCCTGCACACCCGTGTGCACCCCCAAAATGCACACAGACCCTCTGCACTCTCGTGTGCACCCCAAAACCGCACTTAGACCCCTTCCACACTCGTGTGCACCCCCAAAACGCACACACAGCCCCTCCACGCTCGTGTGCACCCCAAAATCGCACACACCCACCCTTGCACCCTCGTGTGCCCTCCAAAACCGCTCACACACCCCTTCCACACTCGTGCGCACCCCAAAACCGCACTTAGACCCCTTCCACACTCGCGTGCACCCCAAAACTGCTCACACACCCCTTCCACGCTCGTGTGCACCCCAAAACCGCACTTAGACCCCTTCCACACTCGCGTGCACCCCAAAACCGCTCACACACCCCTTCCACACTCGTGCGCACCCCCAAACCGCTCACACACCCCTTGCACACTCGCGTGCACCCCAAAACCGGGCACAGCTCCCTCTCGCGCGGGTTTTGCACCCCCAAACCGGGCACACTCGGCCCTTGCACGCTCGCGTGCCCCCCCCAGACCCTCGGCGCCCCGGGGGTCCCCGGGGGGGGCGGCCACGCTCCGCGCGCGGCGGCGACACTCGGGACGGAGCCGCTCGCGACACGCGATGTGACAGCGCAGGCCGCAGCCTGGGCGGGACCCCGCGCTGAGACCCCTCCCCAAAATCCAGCAGAGACTGAGAGACCCCCCAAAACCCCCCTCAGACTGAGACCCC